ACCTCTGCTTGGCTTGAGGGGAGGCTGATAGAGGGAGTCTCCAGCCTTGTGCCCGCTTAAGCAGCTGCTGGCACCTATTTAAACAGACTGCACTTTGGCTCTAGAAAGGGGTTCAATAGTTTGAAAAACATTTTTTTTTTTGGAGACAGAGTCTCACTCTGTAGCCCAGGCTAGAGTGCCATCCGTCAGCCTAGCTCACAGCAACCTCAAACTCCTGGGTTCAAGCAATCCTTCTGCCTCAGCTTCCCGAGTAGCTGGGACTACAGGCATGTGCCACCATGCCCGGCTAATTTTTTTTAAATATATTTTTAGTTGGCCAATTAATTTGTTTCCTTTTTTTTTAGTAGAGACGGGATCTCACTCTTGCTCTGGCTGCTCTTGAACTCCTGACCTCGAGTGATCCACCTGCCTCGGCTTCCCAGAGTGCTAGGATTACAGGCGTGAGCCTCCACGCCCGGCCTGAAAAACATTTTATAAACCCTGGCCTTTGGAGACTGAAGTCACCTGTCTGTGTATCAGAGCAGAGCTGGGACTGCTTTCCTCGGGGACCTTAGCAGGACTTTGTTCCGCCTTCCTGTGGCCAACCAGCCGCTTGATTTTCAAGAGAGATATGACCCTTTCTTCTTGGCTAACTAAATTTATTTATTATATAAATTTATTGGTTAACTCAGTCTGCCCTTACTTGGCTACATAGTAGACTAATTAAACTTGAATTTATTGCAGAGAATATCACATCAAATTTTTAAATTTCCAATTCTTATCAGATGCTTTGTTCTAAGATATTCCTGGAGGTAGCCTAAATCTACTTCTATTTCTCTACAGTGCCTTTTAGAAAAAAAAATTGGGGGGGCGGGGTGGAGGGGGCCTGCTTAACACTGTCTTCAAAAGACAGTTCATGGGGCAGGTAAACCGAAGCTGGCTGAAAAGGAGCAGGGGCTGCCCGTGTGGTGGCATGCACCTGGAGTCCCAGCCAAGCCAGAGGCTGAGGCAGGAGGGTCGAGTAAGACCAGTTCAGGGGTTTGTGAGCTATAATTGTGCCTGTGAATAGCCACTGCACTCCAGCCTGGGCTACACAGAGACCCTGTGTCTTAAAAAAAAAAAAAAAGAACATGGGCTGATCTCCCCTCCAGCCCCCTGCTGGCATTCATCACATCCTGGCTTGGTGTGGGGGGCTCCAGTAGACCAGGCTGGTCATCACTGCCTGAGCCTTCATTGAGTCAAAGCAGAGATCTTCACATTGGGTCTTCTTTTGGTGGCTTATAAAATTCTTTTTATGTTTTTTCTGGGACTATGATCGTGACTTTCATTATTGGATGTTATAAAAAGTCATTTGAAAGTTGAGAACTTTTTGGTTTTCTTTTTTTAATTTTCAGGATGTTGTTTGCAACACCAGCCTCTCCAGAGAATTCTTTCTGAGCATTCCTAGGAGAGGTCTTTTGAGGCTTCTATCTTATTAGGAATTGTTGTATTCCTCTTCAGCTATGGCTTTGCCTTATCTCATGAACACTCTGGACCATGTAGTAGCTCCTTAGGCTTCCCGTTCTGCTTAGCATGTAGGAAGCTCAGTGTCAGCTATGTGATAGTATATACTTTTGTGCCCTAACTTTATCCCAGCTTTATTTCTTTTCTTAAAATTATTTTTCATTTAGCTTCATTTCCTCATCCATTTTCTTTTTTAAAGTATGTATCTTTTAAAAATATTTAATTGTTATGGATACATAATAGTTGTGTATCTTTTTAGGGTACATGTGATGTTTTGACAGGCACACAATGTGAATTACTCAAATCAGGGTAATTGGGAATCCATCACCTTAGACATTATTGTTTCTTTGTGTTAGGAACATTCCAATTCCACTCTTTTAGTTATTTTAAAGTATATCCTAACTTGCTGATTATAGTCACTTTATTGTATAAAATATGTATCTTTGTTAGCCCCATCATCCTTTTGGGAATGGGCTAGTGTACAAATTAGTAAATAAATAAAAACTATCCTAAATATTTTAAGAAATCAAACCACTCTTACTACCTTGGTCTTAGCTCTCACCTTTGCTGTCTGTCACAGAAGCCTCCTGGCTGGTCTTGCTGCATTGCTCCTGTCGCCCAGTCTGCCCATCATTCATTCTGCCCCAGTGAGGTTTTTCTGTAGCCCCTCACCTGCAGAATAGAGTTCAACAGCTCAGGGTTAGGGTCTTTCTTAGCAGTTACCACCTCCCCACCCCCACTATTTCCTGTGGCTCCCTTCCTGTGCCTCATACTTCTGCAGTTCTCCTTTCTGCTAACTCTGCTTTCGCTTGTCATTTCCCTGCATCTGGAGCCCTTTTCCACTCCTTCACCTTTCTCTGCTCAAGGTGAACTTCCTCTGTGAAACCTTTGCTGATCTCCCCACAGGGCTGACCACTTCCTGGGTGTCACTTCCTCTCTTAGTGCACATGTCTGGTCGCACTAACCAGGCTGCTGCTAGCTCATAGACACCTTTGTGCAAATTAGAAAAAGACTCCCCCTCCTCCAAGATACTTTATCTACTTCCAACTATTGGTAAACTGTCTTAAAAAAGATATAAATCTATGATGTCTCCAGTGTGAATGGTGCCCTGCTAGGGTTGTGTGGTACACAACTGTGCCATTGTACATGATGGCCCTATCTGTGTTGTAATTATTTGTTTAATTGTCTAATTAAATAGTATATAATTTATTATTAATAGTATATAATTTATATCTTGATAGTGTTTTTATATTCTCACTATCTGACCAGAGTAGGCCCTCAGTAACTATTTGCTAAATAAAAGAAGGAACCAAGATGCAGGAATGTACCACACCCTGTCTGGAAAAAAGTAGGAAAGGTATGCCTGCCAAGGCCTTTTACACCTGAACATTGAGAATATATTTTTGGCCGGGTACGGTGGCTCATGCCTGTAAGAACAAGACCCTGTTGCTACAAAAAATAGAAAAATTAGCCAGGCATGGTGGCTGATACCACTGCACTCTAACCTGGGCCCACAGAGCAAGGCTCTATCTCTAAATAAATAAAAATAAATAAAAAAATATTTTTAAATCTTTTGATAACTTTGGTACTAATGAAAAATTTGTTTTTCTTTCTTTCTTTCTTTCTTTCTTTCTTTCTTTCTTTCTTTCTTTCTTTCTTTCTTTCTTTCTTTCTTTCTTTCTTTCTTTCTTTCCTTCTTTCCTTCTTTCCTTCCTTCCTCCCTTCCTCCCTTCCTCCCTTCCTCCCTTCCTCCCTTCCTCCCTTCCTCCCTTCCTCCCTTCCTCTCTTTTCTTTTCTTTTCTTTTCTTTTCTTTTCTTTTCTTTTCTTTTCTTTTCTTTTCTTTTCTTTTCTTTTCTTTTCTTTCTTTTCTTTTCTTTCGAGATACTTTTGCTCTGTCACCCTGGCTAGATTGAAGTGCCATCATCATAGCTCACTGCAACCTCCAATTCCTGGGCTCAAGTGATCCTCCTGCCCTAGCCTCCCAAGTAGCTGGGACTACAGGTGCATGCCACCATGACCAGCTAATTTTTAGTAGAGACGGGGTCTTGCTTTTACCCAGGCTGGTCTCAAACTCCTGGGCTCAAGTGATCCTCTGGCCTCAGCCTCCCAGAGTGCTAGTATTACAGGCATGAGCCACCACGCCTGGCCAAAAAAAAGAATATATTTTAATTCAGAAACTTTTCCCACTACATTTGAATATATCTGTAATTAGATATCTTAAAGTCAGTGTACCGTGTGGTTGAGAGCACAAACCCTGGAGCCAGACTTTTTGTGACTTTGGGCATGTTACTTAACCTCTCTGTGCCTCAGTTTATTCATCTGTAAAATAGGGGTTCCTATTTCATGGGGTTGTTGTGAAAATGAAACTAATTATTTTATGTAAAGTGCTTAGAATAATAGCAGGCACATAATAGTAAGAGATAGAAGTGTTAGGTGTTATCAATATTGTTAAAGGCCGTGTGTAGGTTTACTATACTGTTGGTTCTTTTTAACCTTGAAAAGCTGTTTTTAATCCATGGTGTACAGTTTACGTTGCTGGCACCGTGTTTCTGTGGGTCTAGCCTGTGCTAATCTGTTTGTGCTGCGGTCAGAGCACCTGCCCCGTGCGCCCCTCCCCCACCCGCACTGGTTTTCTGGTTGCTGCAACAAAAGGTACATAGTACCAGACAGGAAGCCAGCGGCTTTGTTTTTTCTTCTTAATTTGGCAAAAGAGAAAGAGGAAAAACCAGGGCCCTTTACAGATAAGGCTTGTATTAGAGTTTAAATTTAACTTCTTGTAATAAATCTTGGCTGTGTAATTAGTGTAAACTAAAATAAAGTCTTAAGCTCCCTGCCAGTTGACTGAATGGGCCCCCTCTTGGCCAAGGGGATACCCTAAAACTGAGTTTGGGAGATCATGAGAAAGGAGGTCAGAGAAGGGAGGTCAGATGTGCCTCATCGTGCTCCCCTCCCTTCTTGGAAATATCCTGTGTAATTCCTTAACAGGCCAAACACTATGTAAAACACAGCTTAAACTACACCTGCAGGTCCTCAATTTACTTAACAGATCACTTGAGTCTGGGTGGGTGTCTGGTGGCTTATCTCTATTAACAGACTTCCTTATCTTAAAACAGTCCAAGCCTTTAGACAAAGCTTCATTTCTTTAACCAATTACAAATCAAAGAGTCTTTAAACCCACCTATAACCTGTAAGGCCACCTCCCTTTTAGATGTCCCACCTTTTCAGGCCAAACCAATGTATGTCTTCCATGTATTGATTTATGACTTTCCATGCAATTCCTGTCTCCCTAAAATGTATAAAACCAAACTGTAACCCAACCACAGGGAGTCCACTTGCTCGAGGCTTCTAGGGCATAGCTCTGGGCCATGGTCCTCCAATTTGGCTAAGAATAAACCTCTTTAAATTATTTTACAGAGTTTGACTTCTTTTCCATTAATATTTGAAACCAGGGAGTATTGGGTTTGAAAAAAATGATTGTAATATAAAATCTTTTTTCGTTGCAGCACAACTTTCCTTTGATGATTTTCAAGAGAGTTGTCCATGATGTGGCAAAAGGTAATGGAATGTTCCAGCGTCAAGGTCCCCATTAGAACCTGCCAGGGTATTCTCAGGTTAGATAATAGATGAAAGTCACTCTCTAAATAGTTACGTGTTTCTTCTGGTCTTTAGCGTACACTGTGGCTTTAAACTCAGATGAGGGATGGGACAGGTATTTTTTGCATTGTTTGAGGATGTATTTTTCCTTGGGTCTCATGCTGGCTTTAGAAGTAGTAACACTGTGGGAAGCTCTGCATAACTTAATCTAGCTGCCCCACCCTGTTGAGCTTGCTTCAAATTAAGCAAGATCTGACTAATACATTCTTTGGATATGCTCTGACCATTTTCATTATGAGAACTAAAAGGCTTTTTCCAGATCACATTACTGTAATTGACTTTACATTCAACTTTTTTTTTTTTTTTGAGACAGAGTCTCACTTTGTTGCCCAGGCTAGAGTGAGTGCCGTGGCGTCAGCCTGGCTCACAGCAACCTCAATCTCCGGTGCTCAGTGATCCTACTGCCTCAGCCTCCTGAGTAGCTGGGACTACAGGCATGTGCCACCATGCCCGGCTAATTTTTTGTACATATATTTTTTAGTTGGTCAATTAATTTATTTCTATTTTTGGTAGAGACGGGGTCTCGCTCAGGCTGGTTTTGAACTCCTGACCTTGAGCAATCCGCCTGCCTCGGCCTCCCAAAGTGCTAGGATTACAGGCGTGAGCCACCGCGCCCGGCCTTACATTCAACTTTGATACTCTTACATATTATTCAGTACCAGCTGAAACTCTCAAGGTAGTTGCTATACAACAGCCTTTTCTTGGTTGAACAGAATAGTATATACGTAGATAGTACAAAGATGATCTAAAATTTCATCTCCCTAATCTGTTAAATTGATCAAAGCCCTTTATATATGTAAACCTGGATTAAATGTTATTTCATATAGAACTGGTCAACTTTAGCCTGATCCAAGGGTATGTTTAATTATTAGTTCTCAAAAAAATATCCACGAGGGACTTTCTCCATCAGAGTTTCTGTGGATTCCTTTGTTACAGCAAGTGCTACAGTAGGTGGTCCTGAGGACAAACCCAGCAGCACACGGAGAGTCCAAGAATCAAAGTTTATTCACCGGCAGCCTCAGAGTGGCCTCACCACCAAATTCTGAGACCTGTCTACCCGATTTTGGCCACTTTTATTAAATTGGGGTGGGGTATCAGGTGCAGGTTAGTTGATGTGTCAGGTAATAGGTTAGTATTATGGTGATGCGCCAGACAGTAGATTTAGTGTTATGCTGATGCCAGGCAATAGACTAGTCAATGGGCCAGGTAACAGGTTAGTATTATGCTGATGTGGGTCTTCTGTGAGGGGTGGGGGTCTCCCTTATCACCTTTGCCTTCAAGGTTTCAGAAATGGTAGGCAGACAGTTGTTATTACTCTCTCTGTCCTGGAAGGTGGAGAAATGGGATCTCACTCTATCACTCAGGCTGGAGATCAGTGGCTGTAGCTGGGACTACAGGTGGATGCCAACATGCCTGACTAAGTTTTTTTCATTTTTGTAGAGATAGAGTCTTGATGTGTTGCCCAGGCTGTCCTCAAGTGATCCTCCTGCCTTGGCCTCCCAGAGTTGAGATTACAGGCGTGAACCACCACACCCAGCCTTTTTTTTTTTTTTTTTTGAGTTGGTTGTCAGCATTTAGAATCTGGGCAATTTCATATAAAAACCTGATTTCTGGCACCTCTTGAAAAGTTGAAAGATCCATTGAGACTTAGCCCACATGGCCACAGTTAGCTGGAGCCAGGTGGAAGCTGCCCCCTGGCTAGGCCACCCAGTCCTCACTTTGCAGTTCATGCTCTCATTTATGTGACCTGTTTGGCCTTGTTGGCATTTGAATTGTGACCCCTGTTCTGTCTTGTCCTACATGTGAAGCTGTTCCGGCAGGTGTGAACAGCTCTTGGCCAAAGAAAAACCTGAGCAGCCCGCGGAGAGTTGGAGAGTCGGCTTTATTTCGCCGGCGAGCTCAGGCATATCTGCCACCAAACTCTGAGAGCCCGTTTTTCGTTTTCTTTTAGTTTTATACCTTTTTGGGGGTTACAGTTAGCCAATGGCAAGTTTTCACAAAAGTCACCTCATTTAACATAGTAGTCAGCCAATCAGAAGTATGTCCCAAAAGTTACTTCATTTACATGGTAGTCAGCCAATCAGAAGTATGACTCCAAATCACCTCATCAGCTGTGAGTATTAGTAGCTGCTCAATTTAGGAGCGGGGGATAAGCGAAACAGGCGGTTTTTGGTGGAACGCCCTGACAAATCCAGTGTCCTACTCTGTTTTATAGCCAGGCATCTCACAGCTCTCCAGAAAGGCCTGGCCAGTATGAGCAGTGATTAAATGGCTACCAGGAAGGAGGGGAATTGGCACCACCGAGGCCCACGTGCTGTTCCCAGCCCCACCCCAGGCCTTCAGGGGACAGGAGTTAACGCCAGGGTGGATATGGTATGCTGTATTTACTGAGCTGGCACTACTCCATCTGTTCATTCAGTCTGAAAGTCATACTCAAAGTTTCCTCATCCAGGGAGTGGGGCATTTTTCAAAATATGAAAGAAAGCAGCCAGTGACAGCTCTAGCCCATTTGTGGGCTTACAAGACCAGCTATTGCCACAAAAGGATATGCTTCCTGTTTACCAGCTGGTCTGAGACAAAGTGGTTGTGCTTCCTGGCCACGCGGGGCTTGGCACACAGGCTGGGTTCTGTCTGTCAGGATGGTGGGGCTGAATGCTCGCTCTGTGCTTGGCTGGCTGAAGGCGACAGGCCCCCCCAGCATGGGTCCTGGACAAGGGCCACCCTTGGGAGGCTACTTGATTTGGCTCCGGAACCAGCCCTGGCATTGAGAAAGGAAGCAAATGGGGCAAGTCAGCCTCTCCTCCTTGCAGGCTTCCTCCTTGGCTGTCCTTTCCCTGGGGGGCCCAATCCAGGCAAAGGCCCTTGGCACAAAACTGAATCTCACAATAAATTTGTATCTTTTGTTTTTAAGCATTCAGGAAGCAGGATGTCAATGTCTCTGGGAAAGCTGATCCTTTTCGCTGGTGTGTTGACTAGTGGGGGCTCTGCCCTGGTGTATTACTTCGTGCAAAGTGAGTACCTGCCAGCTGCCTGGGGCATGGCCACCTCCTAGTGCTCCTGAGCCTCCATCAAAGGAAGTATTTGCGATGCTTCCAGCAGATTAGAAAGGAGGAGAGAGCTGTTTTAAAAGCCAATCCACCATTTCATTGGCTATATCTTTCTCCTTATTTTATAATCCCGGTTTTTCCAGGAGCCACAAGTACAAAGGACCAGGATTTATTTTTATAAGAAGGCTTGCAAAGCAAGATGGGCTTTCACTCTAGTGCACACACTGGGGATCGTCAAGATTCCGAAATTATATAAAAAAAGAACAGAGGGAAGGGGAATACCAGATGGTTCACAGGTGGGGAAAACTGTGGCTATTTCTCAAGTGTCTTCAGCCTTTTTTGCCCTTTCATTCTCTGCTGTGATTTATTGGAGGGGGACCTTGAGCAAGGGCCTCTGGCAGGAACAGAAGATAAAAGCAGAGTCCATGATGGCAAAATCCTGACAGATGCATCTTCCAGCCCCACTGCATCCAAATTTGAATCTGTAAAGACAGGCTACAATTATTGTCAGCAGCCAAGACATTTAAGGTCACATCAGTGCTACCCATGGCAAAGCAGCAGCACTTTTTTCTAGACTGACCCTTTTTGAGGCTCTTTTATCCCTGCCCAGCTTGGCTCTTCACCCTGACTCTGCAGCATTTTCACTTCTTCTCAGTTTATGAGTGAGTGTTACCAGTGTCCTCTACCCATTTTTTACCTTCCTACAGACTTGGCCCAGGGTCCCTGAGTCTGGAGGTGGCCCAAGATGAACATTCCCAGGGATGATTTAGGCTGGAATTACTCAGCCTCCTCTTCTCTCTGCCAAAGGGACAGGGGCAGTACACAGGAATGGGTGCATTTTTGGTTAGAGTTCAGCATTCTGGTCTGACAGCCTTTCTCCCTTAGGCTAGAGTCAGCAAACAGAGCCCAGGTAGGTGGGTGACACCTGGGCTCTGCAGCCAACTGTCTGGGTTGAATGGTTGAATCTCAGCTCAGCTCTTGACTACCTGTGTGGCCTCGTGGGGGAGTCTGTCACCTTCCTGGCCTTAGTTACCTTACTGTGTGATGAAGAATGACATTAGTGCCTATGCATGAGGTTGTTGTGAGAATTAAATGAATCTCACAGGCGAGCTATTAAGATAGAAGTGAAGATATGTGAAATATTGAGAACAGAGCCTAGCCATAGAAATCACTTGGTAAAGATTAGCTGTCTGGATCCAGCTTCTGCCCCTCCTTTTCCTGCCATGGCTGGCACCTTGTTCATGCCTGCAGCCCCACTCCTGGGAAGCAGGATGGGAGGGGCAGTGTCCTTGGCCTCTCCAGGCTCAGGCCACCTTCATTACTGTGATTGGACCTACAGGAGGGAAGCTCTTCATGTTGCCAAAGCAAACACCCTACTTGGGAAGCCTAACTGTGCTCTCTCCCTTAATAAGGTGCCCCTTAATAAGGGGCACCTTATTATTGCACCCTATACCTTTAGGTAGGTGCTTCCTGGAGTTTGCAGTAGTCTTTGGGCTATAAAGTGTTCCTTAGACTGAGAGCAGTTCTACTTGAAATGTTAGCATAAATCTGTAAACTTGACAAATGAGCATTTTCATATCCTATTTCTTGGCCTCAGGGTTTTGTTGTTGTTTATCTTGTGGTCTATTTTATGCCTCATCCCAGTGGAACGAGCCCTGTTTAGAAGCCAGGTGTCATGCATTCTGGCCCCTGCTTTGCCTTGGACTAGCTGTGTCACTTTGAGCAGATCATGGGGTCATAGGACGTTAGAACTGAGAGCAAACTTAGAGAAGAGCTAATCAAACTCCTTAGATGAAGAAATGAGGCAATGAAGGAGGTGAGGAAATGAGAAGAAATTGAGGCATAGAAGGGGTCTACATGAGGTCAAGGCTCAAGGTCACCTGCATATCCCTGCAGAAACTGCCTTTCTGCACTTTGATTTTAAGTCTGTAAATTGGACAGTTTAGAGTAGATGGTTCCTAAGTATTCTTCCATTGATAAATTTCACATTCTTGTTTCTGTTTCCAGCTTGTATATCAATTGTATTATTTAACTTTCTGCATACATTCCACTTGACCAAGTTCAATTAAGAAAAAAAAATCTATCTTTCCTACTTAGAAGCTTTTTCCAGGAGTTTGTATTACCAGCTGGGGTTAGAGCAGCTGCATAGCCACCCTGAAGCACTGGAAGCTCTGGGCACTCCTGTGAACGTTCACAATCTCAAGCTCCCCGACAAGCAAAACTTCGTGGACATTGCTGAGGCCCAGGTAACGTGCTCTCCCTCTGAACTGGGAGGGAGAGGAGGCAGGCTGGGTGCCTCCTGAAGGAGAGGAGGGGCTGCTGTCATCTGGACACAGTCTTGGAATCTTGGAGGTTAAGGATTTGGGATGGGAAAACTCACTAAGTAAAACTGCCATTAGGTTTAGCACCTTCTTAAAAAGTTTTTTTTTATTATAGATTTTTATATTTATATGAAATATATTTTATATTACTATGGACTAATTTACTTTATGTATTTTCCTTCCATCTGGGGAATTGATGTGGCAGGGAATGCACTGGGTGTGCTGAGGTTGCCACCTTGAACTGAAGGTAGTAGAGAAATGACTGGTGGTACTTTGCCTTTGTTCTGGCTTTGAACTTGAACTTGAAATATATCTATCTAGTCAGTGCTTGTTCATACGTAACCAGCTCTTTAAACTTTGATTTTAAAGTTTATTTATTTACATTGCTTCCACAGAATACCAGTCCATTTTTTGAGCTGTATCTTATCTTTTTGTGTGATTCAGCTTGATCAAACTTACTTGAATATAAAACACATTTGTTCTTCTGTTTAACAAGCATGTTTTGAGTACATGCCCCAGTTCAAGGAATGATTCTAAGTTATGTGGGGTGAATACAGAGATGCGGAAGGCTTTGGGGGAGTTCACAGGTTAAAATTCCAGAATAAGATAGAGTGGAGCCAGTGCTGTCACTGTTGCATAGGCCCAGAAAGGAGTGGGTGGAGGCCTGGGAGATGGCTGTGCAGGGTTTGAAAGGTAGGGAAGGAACACCAGGCTGAGGAGCAGCGTGCATCGGTCAGTGTTACCTGTCGGTGTGACCTGACCTGCTGTGGAGGCGCAGGTGGGTGAGGGTGGGTGAGGGTGGTAGGAGGTGCTGGGACAGTCAGAGCCACGGCGTCATCATGTGAAGTGTGTGCACTTGATCCTTTGGCTGCTGAAGCCCGTGAAGTGTTGGAGGATATGAGTGAGATGATCTGACCTACTTTATTTTTTGTTGTTGTTATTTTTATTATGTTCTTAATGGACGTAGCTCTAATGGATTTTTTTCTAACTGCAAAGGCAATTCATGCTCAAGTATTCTGATGAAAATATTTTATCTGGTTTTAAAAGAAGGTAAATTGCTATAGATTGGTGATGCCCAGGGACTGGGTACAGGAAGCTGCCTTTAGGGGAGCAGTGTGGCTGCCCTGGTGTGCAGTGGTGAGGAGGTGAACCAGAGTTGTGGCCTGGAGAAATGAGATGGATTTGAAGGGCATTGTGACAGCCAGGTGACAGGAATTAGTAACAGTTTTAAATCAGGAGAGAGCTGGGTCACAGGTGATGCTCCAGTCTCCAGCATGTGTGAATGGAGAGATGGCAGCTCCATGAAGTGACGGAGGGGACCCAGGAGAAGAAAGGGGATGGGCCAGACATGGGTACGGTGTGGCCCCTATGTGCTTCCTTATCTCTGGTCACCTGACTGGATCCTGGAAAGTCCAAGAACTTGGGAAGGCCAGGGATTAGGTCTGGCTGTTCTCTGTTTCCTGCCAGCTTCATTGCTCAGGAGGTGTTTGTTAAAGGCGCCTTTGCTGAGGCAGGTTGAGCAGCATCAGATCCATGATCTGTGACCGGTGAGTGAAGCGTGGGATGCAGCTGTGGTGGTTTTGGTGGGCATTGTCATCTGGTCAGGTCCAGCTTTCGCTTTGGCTCTGTCTTCTAGCATGTTCCAGCTGGTGCTGAGAGGGTGGCTTCCTGCACTTCCTGCAACCTGGGGCCTTTGGGAGCACCGTGACTATGTTGGCTGTGGTGCTAGGTCCTGGTCTCTACTGCTGCCAAATGCTGCGACCCCACAGTGACAGCAGTCACAGTGACAGGAGTGACAGAGCCACCTGGAGCTCCAGCACTCGTCTTCCATTTGTGGAATACTTTTGACATTCTGTCACAGTTCTTTACTTCCTTTATAATCACCTGTTTATAAGGATGCCTGTATACAATGCAGCCATCGTATCCAAAGGTCCTTTATTTGTAGTTCCTTTATTTTGTCCAAAGGTGAGAAGTTTCAGTTGTTCATGAGGTAATTTTCACATTGAAGGATTTTTTCTCCAAGTGTGTGTGTGAGGTAGGCACCAAGTGCCAACACTCTGGTTTAGCAGAACTCCTGCTTCAATCTTTGGCATGGTCTGGCCAGTGAAGGAACCAGCCTGTGAAGCCACATCTACCCCCAGGGATGCAGCTGCTCATGGTTCAGACATTGATCCCTCAGTGTGCGCTGTCCTTCAGAACCCTGCTTACTTCTGCCCTTTTCCTTCCCTTCCCTTTCTTTTTTTTTTTTTAAAGCATCCAGAGATGCTCAGTGTATACTCTGTTGCTTAATTTTATAGCCCTCAGAGAAGAGCTGGAGCTATAGCTTGATTCAAAAAATAGGACCCTGAGGATGGGTTCTTAAAGTGTGACTGGGTGACGGCTGTTCACTCAGTTAAGAAGCCATGTTCCAAAGCCTTTGTCTTCCTTAAAGTATGTTTGAATAAATGAAAGGGAGAATTTTGGAAAACGCAAATGTGTGTGTATCCCCGAGTAGTTCTTTCTCTTGGCAGCAATTTGGAATGGGTGGGATGCTCAACTTCCTGTCCCGGAGAGCACCTCTGCCCATCGCCTGGGGCCCGCAAAGGCACTCTGGGGAGTACCTTTCTAATGACGGGCTTCCTTGATGCCACATTGTGTCAAGGCTCGTACCCTTTTTAGTTTTCACTAAGAAACCAAAAACAATTATTCACTGCTTTTTTTCTAAATCAGAGCATAGCCAAACAAATACCTAGGGGCTGGCTTTGAGGCTCTCAGGCCCGGTCCCGTGCGGGCCTGGCAGCACCTTGACTGCATCCTGCCTGGTGAGCCAGTCACGGCGACTGGCGACGAAAGACAGGGAGCTCCTTGATGTCTTTTCCCGACAGCCATCGTGCACTCTCTTCACGCCTCTTCTGTATGGTCCAGGTCAAAATCTGTACCAATTTGCTGGCAATGGTTCTTCTTTTAAACATTGGACTTTTTTTTTTTTGTCTTTTTTTTCCTATTTTATTATGAAAAATTTCAAACATAACAGAAAAGACAAAAGAATTTATACTGTGAGCACTCATATAGCTGGTACCTGACTCTACAGTTATCATTTTGATTTATTTCCCTGAATCCGTCTTATCATTATGATGTATTACTAAGTACTTTTCAAACATCGTATACTTCACACATAAGCATGTATATCATTAACTAGAGTTCAATATTTGTTTATGGGGGGTTTTCCTGAAATAAATTTACATTCTGTGAAACGCACAAATCCAAGTGTCCTGTCTGAGTTCTAACATATGCATCCATGCGTGTAGCTCCAGCCCTTGTCTAGATGTAGACTGCTCCCACCCCCAAGAGTTTCCTCATGCCCAGCTGGTCCCCTCTCACATCTAGCTCCACCAGGGACAAGCATTTTTCTGATTTTTTCCCAGCATTTAGCCTATTTCCAGTTTATTTAGCCTATTCTAGAACTTAACACAAATGGAATCATACATTATATGCTCTTTTGTGAGGCTCTTTCAGCAAGTTTTAATATTCATCTACATTGCTGTGTGTACCTTTATAACAGCAAATTTATGAATTGTAAGCAGCCAGAGCACTGAGTTTGACACATAGGGTCTCCTTGCCAATGGAGGGGCTGCCATCGACCTCACCAAATCATCCAAAGAGGGGCAGGACATTTGGAAAATCAAGTGCGTTCTCCAGCTGGGCTATTAGAAAACGATCTGATTCTGTTGATAATCTCTGGATTTTATAGTCTTGGCTCTAAAAATCATCAGTTTTATCATCTGTTGAGATGATAATAATGTATCCAATTACATCTCTCCTTCCCGTCATTTTATACCCACAGTTGAAGATTCCCGTCTCCGGGTCCAAGTCAGAGGGCCATCTCTACGTCTTCTCCTCCAGAGCTGCCCCCTTTCAGAGGTATTATGGGAAAGTGTGGGAGTTGGGGACAGCAGGAGGACTTCCTGATGGAAACAATCCTGATTCCCATTTTCACCTGCAGTTAAATGATCGTAGTAATAAGAATTAGTTTTCAAAGCTTGGCGCCAAGCTTCATGGCCTGGGCAGCAAGCCAGGACTGTGGCTCTTACCTCAGTTCAGACAATTTATTCCAGACAGTATCCTGAATTGTCTCCTCCTTATATTGTTGGCCTTTTTGAAAACTATTAAGGTTGTAGTGATCTAGGTCTACAATAATGTAATGCTATGTTACGTCTTCTAACTGTGCTGCCTCAGTGGTTACAAATGAGTAAAGGCATGGATTTTCATTCCAGAATTATTCATCACATTCTTTGTGGAAGCTCTCCACCCCATTAATTGGCTTTTCTTGTCTGGTTGCCAGTAGCTACATGCACTCACTTCCCCCGAGAAGCCTCTCTCAGAGATGTTTGCTGTTTAGCCAGGCTGGGTTTTAATTCTAGAGGACAAAAGGAGCAGGCAGCCCTGGGCAGCCCCCACCTAGCTCAGCTTGGGCTCACTGACCTCTGAGCCTGGGATTAGTGGAGGAGCTGGCTGGATTCCAGCCCAGGACTGAAGGTCAGCGTGGATTAGGAAATAAAGTGCTGCTTCTTCCTGACTTCCCTTCCATTTGCCTGTCAGTCGGTCACCTGCCTTGAAGTTGATGCTGCTTAAATAATGACAGTGCATGATAGAATGCTAATGTGTTAACACAGCACTAATGTAAAATAGTGTTTAGAAACATTTAAGACACTGTTCCAAACAACTGCTTTCCCCCCGCCCCCCTTTTGACTGTCTTTTGCTTTCGTGTTGAGTTGATCAGAGATGCTATACTTTCGGTTCCTCTCAGGTGGCACCTGGACGAGGTCTTCTTACAGCTCCAGGATGGTCAGAAGATTCCTGTGTTCAAGCTCAGTGGGGAGAATGGTGATGAAGTGAAAAAGGAGTAGAGGGAATCAAAAGACCTCACTTGCTTCAAGTCTGGCCTTCCCTCATCTGCAGCGTGTGCCCTCCCAGGGTGACAGCCCATCTGAGTGACAGACACTCCTGCAGCCAATTTTCCAGCCACCAGTGGGAGGACTGTATGTGCTGGCATATGGTAATTTGGTACAATTCTAACTTGAACACAGCAAACCCTATTGTGGTTTTTTAACTGAATCAGAAAGAAACATTTATTGTAAATTTTAAAGATAATTTATTTGAAAGTGCTCTGTATAAAAAAGCAAAGCACAGGATAAAAGGAATCAGGACTAATAAAATGTTGATTTTTGCTAGTTCTCATTTATTTCTCTTCTTTTCCTCTTCCCTGCCCTTCCCCTGTAATTTTCAGCTTTATCAATAGGAAGTCTGAGGCATGTTGACCGAGAGTGCTGAGGACGACTGGGCACTGTTGTTTTGGCCACTCTGCCCTGAATTCATGTTTTTAAGTAGCTTGTGGGCATCCTCGGTCACTTGGGAGTATTTTGTTTGTTGTATTGTTTTTGTTTTATTTTCATATTTCTATTTCAAGGACCAATTATCTGCCCAATTAGTGATTTGCAAAATAATTGCTTTTATTTCAAACATTTTGAAAGCTTAGAAAATTTATATGTGTACATATACACATATAAAGCCAATATAGGAAAGTTTAGTTTAAAGCTAACAGGTACTTTTCCTTTTGCTTTTCAAACAGTTTAACCACATGATATTAGGGAATCATATCCTTAGATTTTATTAATTTTATAAGGAAACAGTTTATGATGCAAAAGACCTTCCTTCTGAGTACCAGAGTCTACAAAAATGGAAATCTGATATCTGCTTTGAAAGGCCAGTTTATAAAGGTGGGCACAGGGCGCACACCTGTAATGCTAGAACTTTGGGAGGCCGAGGTGAGGGGATCACTTGAGGTCAGGAGTTCAAGACCAGCCTGAGCAACATAGTGAGACCCCATCTCTACAAAAAGTAGAAAAATTAGCTGGGCATGGTAGCGTGCACCTGTAGTCCCCGCTACTCGGGAGGCTGAGGCAGGAGGATTGCTCGAGCCCAGGAGTTTGAGGTTGCAGTGTGCTATGACACCACTGCACTCTAGGCAGGGTGATAGAGCAAGACTCTGTCTCAAAAAAAAAAAAATAAAACAACAAAAAAAGGCCAGTTTAACTCTCTCAGTATTACTAGGCTTAATGCAACTGTCTACAATGAAGGACATTCATGGGTTCTTTTCCTACATTCTTTTTTTTGCTAACTCAGGACTTGGGGACTCTTTTCCTACATTTCTAATATTTATTGAAGAGAAGCCTCTCAGAGAAAAAAGTAAGCTTAAACATGTTGGTAGAATATGAGGCTTTTAGTTATTAGATATTATTCTGAAGTTTGTTTTTTTAAAAAAAATATTTATATGTTCTTTGAGTGGATAATATAGTGAAAAGTAGGTCTCTTTCCCTAGAGCACTTTGCCATTTTGTTTGGAGATAAATATTACAGACTCTACAATCTTTTTTTTTGAGACAGAGTCTCACTCTGTTGCCCATGCTAGAGTGCCATGGTGTCAGCCTAGCTCACAGCAATCTCAAACTCCTGGGCTCAAGCAATCCTCCTGCCTCAGCCTTCTGAGTAGCTGGGACTACAGGCATGCACCGCCATGCCCGGCTAATTTTTTCTATATATTTTTAGCTGGCCAATTAATTTCTTTCTATTTTTAGTAGAGATGGGTCTCTCTCTTGCTCAGACTGGTTTCGAACTCCTGACCTTGAGTGATCTGCCCACCTCGGCCTCCCAGAGTGCTAGGATTACAGGCATGAGCCACTACGCCCAGCCAGACTCCACAATCTTTTAAGATAAATGGTAGAACCCTGTGCACAGTTTTGTGCTGCTTTTATTCTTTCTGTTGTGTATATGTTGTCAGTTTATGTATTGCTTCGTATCTTACTGTCCTCTGACAACTTTTGCTTCCTTCCAGTGTTTGCTAGAGTTTTTGTTTGTTTCTTTGCTATGGCCAAATCATAGAAAACCAGGGTCTAGTGGGCCATCCATTCTGAAGTAAAACAAGTGACAGTTTTTGTTTGTGTCAAGTTTGATTTAATAAAGAGTCTTTACTCATCCAGCTGATAAGAAATAATATTATGTAGTGAAAAGCTCCTTGGTTTCTATTTGGAAGCCACCGTCTTGGGTAATCTTTCTAGTTAAGTTTACTTCCATGTATGTGCTTAATGATTTCATGGGTGACTCAGAACCTGGTCATGGCAGTAGACATTGTTTTTCCTGTTCTTTAAGGATAGCAATGATGCATATTTGCAGCCCACTACTTCCTGTATATCCAGTAATCACAGTGACTCAGCCATTGACTCCTATTTACTAGCTCATCTGGGATAATGCATATTGTTTTAGAGGATAAATTGACTTTTTTGCCATTAGCAGATTTGAGCAAGTGCCCTCAGCACATCCCATAAAGAGACAGGACAGCCCGGACATTAGAGAAAGAGCTTTATTAGAATTACAAGAACCATAGATTGGCAAAGACTACAGAGGAGACATTCCAGCCAGCACATGGTAGCCTGGCTCCATGTGCTTTACTATGGAAGATGCTGCAACACCCAACCCCCCCCAACACCCCCCCCTGCTGCAAGTGGCTCACTAGCTTGTGTGCTGTGTGCATGGACGGGTTTACAGGGAGTTATAGAGTAGTTGTTTATTTTTTTAATATTTGAAAACTTTATTTTCTAGTTATAGAGTATTAGAATCTGTGCCCCAAGAGTTTCAAGCAGTGATGCCAAAATGATGCAGAAAAGAGAGATATCAGCTAGGAGGAATCCAAGAGGCTACCTCCAGAGGCAGTGGCATCCTTGTGGGCCTTGAAGGCTAAGATTGTGACGAGCAGACATGATGGAAAGTGCCTTGTAAGTGGAAAGAACATGAACAAAGGCCTCAGAAGGGATGGACGTGCGCTGTGCCCCAGAAATAAGATATCCAGTTTGGCCAGTGTAGAGGTTAGCTGTAGATGAAGTGAAAGGTAGCTTGGCCATAGTGTGAATGCCAGTGTTCACATTTTACATGTAATCTGTGGCCAAAGATTTTGGGGTAAGTACATGATACTACTGTTAATGAAGGTTTCAGAAACTGTGCTTTCAAATAAATCACAAATTTTGTTATCATTTGTTCCATTTTTCTAGAATTAGCTTCCTCTTGCTTTCAAACATTCCCTATTCACCAATCCAGGGACTTCATAATACCTTATGAGACAAGGTTTTATTACTCTGTTTTGGTAAAGTTGTATATGGCTACGATGAAGCTGAAAGAAGTCACATGTACATGAAACAGCCAGAACTTGACAAATAGTGGCCTCTGTCCTCTGGAAGGCTGGGGAAGTGCTCAAAAGGCAGCAGCTCTCGAGGGCTTTCCCCAAGCAGGCAGCTTTGGAAGTAGCCTTAGGCCACTTGACTATTTAGTGTTTTCAGTATGTCCATATAAAAAATATGAATAAATATTTACCAATCACCTGCCTTACAGGTGAGGCAATGTTTACAGTGCTCGTTAGGATGCTTGTGCAAAAGATGCTGTTTACACAGGAGGCCTGATGACTGGCAGGGGTGGGGGGTGTCAAGAAGGAGGTGGGAGGGTGATAGGAAAACCTCCGGCTCCTCCCACAAGAAGATGCTCGCCGCCTCGGTAACTCGGTCCCGGTTCAGGCATGCCTTCTGGCCAGCTTCAGCAGAGTTGCTCAGTTGAAAGTACTGTCAGGAATGTGCACGAAAAACTGTGCCCTTTTACAACCCAGAGTAGAAAAGTGGTAAATGAAAATGTTAAAAACATGCCTCTAAGACACAGGTTGGGTGCAGGTAAGTGAAATTTGACTTTTCAGGAGAGTGTACTTTTCTTTCCTAAATGATCTTCCAGTGTTTTTCCAAAAGAATTTTTTTTTAAAGGAAACATTTTGATTGATGTATCAGATCACATGCAATATAATATTAAAAGCCTATTGGTATTAAATAATACACTGTCAAGGCAGAAATTAGCCCCCTCAATCTATAACCATAATACTTAACTGTAGCTACCATGTTAATGTCAGTCACCTTGCAGTCTTACTGAGAAAGTAATTTTTTACTTTCAAATGATTTCTAGGAAACTAGAAACTATAGACCAGAAAGAAACTACAGAACAATCTCCCTTATGAAAGTTGATGCAAAAATTCTAAATAAAATACTAGCAGAGTGAATCCAATGACATATAGTGATATCATGTATTGTTTTTCACAAAGCAGTTTGGTGTCTCTCCCTTGCAGTGCTCTTCCCTACTGGAGGATTATACATCCCTGCCTGGTTGAACGTAGGCATGACCAGGTCATTTATTTTGTGAGTGGAAGTGACATGCAAGACTTCTGAGTAAACGTTTTAATTGCCAACCCTTGGTTCACTGTGTCCTCTTTAATTTCTTCCCTGATATTGGTAATGTTCCAGATGGCAGCTACTTCCAGGGCTTGGGTTCTGACCCACAGTGGGGCATGTAGCACGAGTGAGAAGTACACCCTTATACTTCATTTACCAAACAGGTATGGGCCTGTTGTATGCTGACCTCCACACTAGCCTTATCTCAGGTTACTTATCCTCTAGTTAATTTTTTAAAAAAGATCCAAAATAAGGTTGCACAAAAGTAATTTTTAAAAATTGTTATAGATGTTAAAATATGGCCAAAGGCCCATAATATGCAGATATTAAAAAAAAAGAGAGAAAAAACATGGCCAAAGGTAGAATCCAGAGGTAAAAGTCCTTGACTAGCAGTCAGGAAACGTCAGTGATTCTATCCTTTGTGTAACTAGTTGTGAGATTTTGGGCAAATCACATATTCCCTCTGACATTTCATTATCTTATCTCTAATTTGAAAAAACTAGAGGAGGGAGTCCTTCCAATTTTGGTACTGTAAGTTTCATTTCAGCAGACTTACTCCCACTGTTACCAACAAAAGTTTCAAAAGAAAGGCTCATCCTTACTTAAATAATTTATAACATAGGGTTATAGGCACAATGAGCTAAAAATGAATATTGGAAGTTTGGAGTATTAAAAGCAAACAAAAAAATTGGAAAATGAGGAATATCCAACAAAACAATAGCATCAAAAAACAGAGATAAAGGTAAAAGGATGTGCAGAATCTCTATATTGAAAAATATAAAATTGCTGAGAAAAAGTGAAATAAATGAAAAGCCACACTACGTTTATGGATTGAAGACTCAATATTGTTAAAATGTTAAATTGATGTACAGATTTAATGAATCCTAATCAAAATCCCACAAGGCTTTTTCTGAGGGG